ATCTAGTGAGCAGCTCAATGCCTGTCACATAGTAGACTTAACAATAAATTTTTATTGAATAAATAATTTGGATTGAATTTCTGGGATTTGTGGTATTATGTTTACTTGGCAGTAAATTCAGAACGTACTTCATTTTAGTACATGTTGTTAAATACTATTTTTAAATGCATTCGTCTCTTTCCTTTCTTAGTAAGTTTATTTAAAAATTGTCCTTTAACTATTTCCAGAGGGGATTTGAGTCAGCAGCATCAAGTGAAACTTGCATATACAACATGGCCGTAAAAATGAAAATAAGCACCTCAAAGACTTCTTGGAAAAATAATAATATCAGTACATTCCAAATTAAAATCATTAAACAATTTGAGGGGGGGGATTAATGAGATTACTGTAGTTAAGCATGAATTAAATTTTTACAGATTTTCTTCATCATCAAGTCAGTAAGAAATAAGATAGTTCATATTTTCCATGATCAGTTATAATCTGACCAAAGAAATTCATTTTTCTTGGGAGATTAACCTTCATTCATTCATCAAATATCTGTTAAATGCCAACTGCGTGCTATGATATGATAAAGCGTAATGAGGACGCAGCAGTGAATAAAAAGGACAGTCTCTACCCATATGGAAGCAGACATATACACGTATGATACGTACAGGGAGGGAGAAGTAAAGAACACTCTCTGTGCTGGAGGATTCAGGCAAAGTTTCACGGAGGACTCTGACATTCAGCTTGAGATGTAAGAGATTCCTAGAAATCAACTAGATAATTTAAAGACAACGGGGAAGCATATTGGTGTTGGTATCATCTCTGAGATGTGAGAGAGCTTGGCACAATGGACATGAAAGAAGGTCAGTGTATCTCAAGGAGAGGTAGAAGAGGTGGATTGGAGTCCATCATTCCATTAACCTGTTGAAGATTTTTGAGCACCGAAGTAATATGATTACATTTGCATTTGCTCATTGAAGGAGAACAGTAGTAGACACGGGGAGACCAGGTTGGATGTTTTTGGAGAATTCATAATAAAAAATGGTGGTATCTTGGCATGGGATTATAGTAGTGGAAATGGTAAAATGTGGAAATGGTAAAATGTGGACATGTCTGTGAGTTATGGAATTCCCTGTTTAGAGTAGGATCAACGGGATTTAGTTCTTGAATGGGAAGTGAGGCAGAGTCTCAGAAGTGATTCCCAGTGTTCTCCTTTGAGCAACAACTGGGTGGATGAGAAAACCAAATGAAAAGCAGATCAGGGTAGATGATGAAATCTGTTTTTAATATATTGAGTCTGAAAAGCATATGAGACATTCAAACAGACACATGAAATAGACAGTTGAGGATTTGGGCTTAGTACTCAGAATACAGATGAATTCTGGAGATAGAAATTCTAAAGTCTTCATTATATAGAAGGTATATCAAGTTGTGGGCATGATCCTGGAGACAGTGAATAGAGAGACAAAAGCAGAGGTCTGCTGTCAAATAAAAGGAATCATTATTTGCAGGCTATTGGCAATGTGTTGGCTATTGTCAATAGTAACAATTTCACAGAAAGATTTAAGAAGCATTTTATTTGTCATAATATAAAATCCCATTTGATGCAGATAGATGGTTTTCTGGAGAGCTCAGTTGATCCAGAGATGAAGATTTAAAAATTCCCAGGGACATTTGGTTAACATTCACTTCCAATGGTTCTCAACTAGAGAGGAAACCACCTTCTGACAGGGGGAGTTTGGAAATGAATGGGCATATTTTTATAAACTGTCAAAATGACTATCATTTAATGGGTAGGGTGCAAAACACATAACTGTCAAACTCAAGAAGACCATAGTACTATATTGAGAGACCCTGATAAACTGTTGTGCCACATATATTTCTCTGACTTGCTGATTGTAAAGTTCCCAGTCGCCTGTCAAGAACAGTCACCGACCCCTTCTGGATTTTCACCTCTGCAACACTCTCTTTATCCTGAGCCTAGAGGAGATGACAGCTCTGCCTGTGCTAGCCCCATATTATTTCCCTGTCCTTCATGACTCCTCTGCAATTGCATGGGGCTATGTACATAGGACCTGTGTAAATCAGATCCTTGAGAAGATCTAGTTGGTGTGTGCTGTCATTTTTCTTGGAGTCCTGACTCTTATAGCTATCTTTTCCACCTATCATTTGTCTCAAATATAATTTCCTAGGATCTTGTAATATCAGATTTAGCTTCCTGTTAAGTTACAAGAAGCTCTCGAATAAAGTGGTATCTTTTTTGTTTGTTTGTTTTGTTGTGTGTGTGGCTTATATATATTTATATATATTAGTCTTTCAGAGGATAAACTTGTCGTTTACTTTTGTAATTTAAGCAGACTGGATATTCTTGTCTTCGTGGTGGAGTGGCTTTTCCTTTCTGCTTGAAGGTGGTCCCAATAGTACTAAATAGAAACAGTTTCCTCATTAAGCAATTTGTTAAAATATGTATGTTCAAGACATTCCTAAGAAATACTCAGTTAAGACTTCCAACATTCTATTACAGATGACATGGAAAAGTCATTTTGAACCTAGAAAAAGTTTAAGGTCAGATTTTTGTAGTCAATCATGCCAGTCATAAAAAGTCAGTGTAGATGGGCATTGAATGAAAGACAGAATAAAGCTTTGCTTTTCTTTGATGACTCAAGATCAGCAGAAACCCAGAGTTCCTATTTTGAACACTTTACAAACCCAACTATAAATGGAGACAGTGACTGAGCAACTGGGCGGATGACAGGCAAGCTCTCTGCTGCAGCTGTAAAGTCTGTCCCAAGAAAACAGTTCAAAATTCACATATTTTGGAAATGAAAACCAATAACATTCATAAACAAAAAAGAATTAATATAGACCTGACTCCTTAGAAGTAACTTTTTTCATAAGTTTTTTTTTCTCTCTCTCTCGGTGAAGACACACACACACACACACACACACACACACACACACTTTAAATATCCTAATGTCTTTGAATTAAACAATCGGCACAATTTCAGGAGCTATTGCTTTCTTCTAGGAAATATCTCACTACTAGAGTTCTCTTTTGAGATAAGAAGATTTCTCAACTTTATTACGAATTCTGTTGTATACATGTGAACACGTTTCTGAATATTTTACATATTACTATATGTTTGAAATAGTATATTTAGGTATATATAAATATATATGTGTCTGTGCGTGTATATATATATATATATATATATAAATATATATACATTTTTTTTTCTTTGCAATTTTACGTGCCTTCCATCATGGGAGGTGGAAGGGGTAAAGAACAGGAATTATTTTACAGCATATTTATTTATGTTCTTCATGGTTAAAGAAAACTATGCCAACATTCTTCTGGCCCACATATTCAATTAAATGTATAGTGAATCTTTTCTACTTACTGGATTATTTGGTGCTTCCAGGCATTTATTTTTGGCATTTCATTTCATTTTTGTTTTTGCAGGAATTTTTGAAGTTTTATTATGATTTAACATTTTTATTTTGAAAATCAGGCGCATTTTAAAAATTACTCTGCTGCAACTGTAGTCCACCCCCAAAAACAGATAGTTCAAAATTCACATATTTTGAAAATAAAAATGCAGTATAGAAATTTACGTATACAGATTACTGGTTCATGATTTTTTATTTATATATAAATCTATTTATACAATCATCTATAAATACAGATATGCAAATATATTATTTTTTGAGAATTGAATCTCTGTAGCAATCATTTTTTATGTGGTATTTTTCCATTAGTCACTTTCTTTTCTTTTTTTTTTTAATTTGAAGAATATTTGCAAAGGATTTAGTCATTTTCTAAGCATTTTCACATGTAAAGCTCTGTGAGGTTAACAGGGGAAGAGGTATCCTAGGATGAATAATGTGTCTCTCCCTGTCCCCAGATCTGGTAGAGAAGCTATGCATAATAGGTTAGACTGAATAGCTTTCTACATTTTCAATCAGAATTAGCTGTGGCCATGAGATAAGAACAGACAAGATGCACCCCTTGTGTGTCTGCCTTCTCTCTAAGAGCAGGCCCTCCATTTACTTCCCTTTTGTTCAAGTTAAGATAACATGTTACATTGCTCTATCTTGCTATTCTTCATGACCAATGTCACAAAACTTTTTCTCTATGTTACTTCTTTTAGAAGCTGAAGTTTCAGGTCTTTCTCATCTTTAAGTCTTTAACCCATTTTTAGTTAATGATGTCAGATAAGGGTCCGGTACCATTCTTTTGCATGTGTATTTCTAGTTTCCCTAACATCATTTATTGAATAAATTGTTCTTACCCATCATGCATTCTTTGCCCCCTCATAAAAAAAATCAATCGACTGTATATGCGTGGATGTATTTCTGGGCCCTCTGTTCTGTTCTGTTGGGCTGTATATCTTGTTTTATGCCAGTACCATATTGTTTTGATAACTGTAGCTTCATAATATATTTTGAAATCAGGGATTGTAATGCCTCTGGCTTTGTTCTTGGCTTCAAGATTAATGTGGCTTTTTGTGGCCTTCTGTGGTTCCATGTGAATTTTAGAACTGTTTTTTCTATGAATGTTAAATGTTATTTTGGTATTTGGATAGGGATCTCGTTGAATCTGTAGACAACTTTGGGTAGGATATACATTTTAACAATATCAAGTCTTTCAATCCATTAACACAGGTGTTTTTCCATTTGTTTGTGTCTTGTCTAATTTCTTTCACCAGTGTTTAATAGTTTTCAGTGTATAATCATTCTCCTCCTTAGATAATTTTTTCTAAGTTTTTTATGGTATTGTAAATGGATTTTTTTTTCCTTCTTTTTCTGTTGTTCACTGGCAATGCACAGATATATAACTGATTTTTAGGTTAGTCTGTGATCTCTGAAGGCAAGATCATGCCTTATTTGTATTCTGCATAGTAATACATAAATTACAATTAGCAGTTATTAATTTTTTATTTATGTATTTTTATTCAGTTTCTTTGGCAGTAATTTTTGTTTTCTTTCTTCCTTTTTCTTCCTATTCTTCTTAGGGCTCCACTAGTTCTACAGCCTCTCCTCCAGTGTCGACCCCAGTCACAGGACACAAGAGAATGGTGATCCCGAACCAACCCCCTCTAACAGCAACCAAAAAGTCTACATTGAAACCACAGCCTGCACCCCAGGCTGGACCCATCTCTGTGGCTCCAATCGGAACACTCAAGCCCCAGCCTCAGCCAGTCGCAGCCTCCTACACCACGGCCTCCACTTCTTCAAGGCCTACCTTTAATGTGCAGGTGAAGTCAGCCCAGCCCAGCCCTCATTACATGGCTGCCCCTTCATCAGGACAAATGTATGGCTCAGGGCCGCAGGGCTATAACACTCAGCCAATTCCCGTCTCTGGGCAGTGTCCACCTCCTTCAACACGGGGAGGCATGGATTATGCCTACATTCCACCACCAGGACTTCAACCTGAGCCTGGGTATGGGTACACCCCCAACCAGGGACGCTATTATGAAGGCTACTATGCAGCAGGACCAGGCTATGGGGGCAGAAATGACTCTGATCCTGCCTATGGTCAACAAGGTCACACAAATACTTGGAAACGGGAGCCAGGGTACACTCCTCCTGGAGCAGGGAACCAGAACCCTGCTGGGATGTATCCAGCCAGTGGTCCCAAGAAGACCTATATCACAGATCCTGTTTCAGCTCCCTGTGTACCACCATTGCAGCCAAAGGTAAGAAATTCATCAACATAATGAGGAGAATGCGGATGTGCCTCTCTCAGTCTGCCTTCCCCAGAAAGCAAAGCCTAAGGCAAAAGTGTATGTGTTAATTTTACTTCACTAACACATACAATCCCAGGGAAGCATGAGTGAAGCCAGAGAGGAGAGAGAGACTATTTGGTGTTACCAGTATGGCCACTGTTTAGTATCAAATGGAATTACTTGCTCAATCTTGAAGAATCATCTTCCAAAAGGCCATAGAAACCATAGCATCTCAGGATGAAGTGTTCTGATGGAGAAAAAGAAAATAATTTATTTTTCACATCCTTCCCCATATTAATTCAGGCTTCCATCTATTATGTAGAAACTTCCTCTACATCTTGCATTTGCTTGGACGTTAAATAGGGGTTTAGCATCTCAAGCCTCAGCAAGGCTAGTGATCTATAAGTGAGACATGTGGAGGGCAAAACTGAGGTGATCTGTTGTCAGGCTGCGGCCCTCTGAAGGCAATCATAACTCCCGCAATGTTGGTGCCACAGTGGTTGCTGTGGCAGGACAGGCAGCCAAGGACCCAGGAGATGGGTGAGGTCGAGCAGGTCTAAGATACTGCAAACACCTTGGCTAGTTTCTCCTTTGAGAAGGGGCTGCAGTATAATGTAGCTTGTTTGTGACCCCTTGTCTATGCATGTTACTGATCCTCCTGAAAGAATCTTATTCTTCACCCTTTAGCACTATTAAGCAATGTTTAAAAACTCCTTATGAGTGATGGTTACATCTTATTTGACTTAATTGTCCGTATGTGGATCTTTTAAGTTAACACTCTCTGTTACTTCTTCTGAATATAATACTGCATATGCCCGCTCACCACAACTTGGATTTTTCATTAGTACTAGAACCAACATGATGTTGATTCCTCCCATTATGATGAGAGGAACCAATGAGAACAACTTGGAACGGGTGAAAATAGAGGAACTGGGCCAGTTTCCAGCCATTTGGGTTGGAAGAGTGCCCTTCTTTCTTTTCAGTTAGAACTGTGAGAAATCAGAAATTTGAGAGCCCTCAATTAGCTAGAAGATGAATGGTAGTTTGGGGGGATGGATTGGGTAGAAGTTTGGACTGTATTTTTAAAATTCTTTCCACATTTTTAATAAGATGGTCAATTTCAAGACAGAGCTATTCACGTATTCAACATTATGTCAAAAATCTCCTTATAGGGTGTTTACTAAACTGTTTTTCTGATCTGAAAATTTCTGCCATATTAATGGTGTCCTATGTGAATTTCAAGTTCTATAGGGGAATAGAGTTTTTCCTGACAGTGAGGACTGTGAAGAGCTGGAAAAGTCCAGCTCAAGAAATCCATTAGCTTTATGTGTGACCACTATATGAAAGTGGCCGGCCATGATCCTTTTCCAATAGATAGATTCCAAGTTAGAATTTTAAGTGATTTTAAACATTACTCAGTTGCTGAAGTCTCTCTACCAAAAGAAATGTTATTACAGCTTTTTATTTCTTTTTAAAATAAATTTGTCCAAAACAGCCAATCAGAATAGCCTTGCTCTTTGTTAATGTCACAGTATGTTTGTATAACTTCCTCCTGGCCCAGACAAGGGGAGTCTATTTTCAAAACAACCAGTTCAGAGAAACAGATTATTCAACTTAGCCACACTTTCTGTTTTTAACAATCGCAACAGATTCACCTAGGGAAGATTACAGTAAAATAAAATGTTAGGTCAGAACAAGTGCTGCCAACATTTAAGTTCAAATAGATAGGCAATTTTGCCCTGCCCAAAGCAGGATGACCGAAAGCATGGCTGAGTGATGATCCTGAAGGAAGGAGATGGGGTCTGCGTTGCTTGAGGACTGTGTTATCCCATGTAGGAACCAGACATGAGAGAAAGCAAAACAATATGTACTGGAGAGACTCACCTGGCGGAGAACTGAGCTAGTCTTCAGGTGTTGTTTTCTCATTAAGTCACTGGGAACTCTGACCAGCCCCTCTTAAGCATTTGGAATCCACCCTTTGGTGTAGGAGAAAGAATCAGCCCCCACTGCTAGGACTGGATCTAAAACACTGATTCCAGCCACATCATTAACATTTGGCCCATCCTCACCCACTGACCCAGGGAGATGGAAAGAATTTTTATGAACCACTCATCAGAAAACATGGAACTTTATTTTGCTTCTTATTTGAGCAAGGTAGTTATTCAAGATGATCTATTAGATGATTTACAGATTCTGGATATCAGATTTTATGTTATTTTTAAAATTTTTGATATATTTGTTTTTCAACAGTTTCATGTGTTTTCACATCATATTCAGTTGTACATTTTTAAGATGAAAATCAAATCATGTACTTTCACTCTGATTATTAAGAGTGGTTAGAGGTTGATATTTAGCCATCTGTCTGTCAGTGCTTTGGGAAGGGAGAAAGAGGCTGATGAAGCTATGGATAAATTCTGTGTGTGTTGTGAGGGCATTGGCTGATGAAGGGGTGGGTTTCTTCACAGTTGGTCTTTGAGCAAAACACTAGTGTATTCTACTGCACCTGTGCACAGAGGACCTTATTGTCCTTATATTGACTGTTTGGCTTAATTATGTGACTACAGTCATGAGAAATGAGCTCCTAATTCTTGACCCAGTTCTTTTGTTGACATTCCTCTTCCAGTTTGAGGAAAACCTCTAGACCTCTTTATATCACGCTTCAAACCCTAGTAAAGTAGAACATCTTCTTTACTAATTAATTAATGATTGCAAAAGGCTTGGAAATTTCCAAGGACTGAATAATTGCCAAGTGAGGACTGTTCAGCTTTCCACTGGCTTTCATTTATTTTTAATTTTTTTTTTAGTCACTGATGGAAAACTTACCCTCATGTCTGAAAACAATTATACTTATTATATTGAGTAATTCTGGGGAGTTTGGCATTTAGCCCATTAAGGAAAACGTTTAAAAGATGAATTAAATAAATCTCCCCAATATTTGAGATGAGCTGCTTTAGTTTTCCTATATCAAGATAGTATAAAAAGAGGAATATAGTATAGTAAAAAAGAGGTGAGACAGGATGGGGAAATGGAGGAAGGAAGGAAGGAAGCAAGGAAGGAAAGAAGGAAAGAAAAAGAAAGGGGAAGAAGTGAATAAAGGAAAGAGACAGGATGAGAACCTGCAAGGCTTAGGGAATCATGATTATATTTATGTTCCCATAATATGCTGAGCAGTGAATTTGCATGCTACAGTAGGCCATACTGTTTTTCCTATACCATCTGAGCTGAGTTCCTTGCAAAATATTGTTATAAATAAGTCATTATAAGGCAGAAATGTTCTCTTCTCACTGGAAATCCTCTTATAGATGCAGTAGAATCTCTTCTGTTTGCTGATGTGTAAAAGCTAATGTTAGCTACATCTTGCTGTGTAGTGCACAGGCCTCTAGTCCTGTGCATTAGTTATATCCCTGTGAGTTGGGATGCACGTTTTCTCCAGTATTTAGATACGGTGGCTCAGCTTGAAAGTTCCAGAGGCAGGACCTGGAAGCTAGTCAGGACTCTCAGGTCTAAAGTGACCAGGCAACTTTAGCCTCCACTTATCATAAAAACTCATCTTTGTCAGCCTCAGCTATTAAAGGGACACGTATTTGCTACATAGTGTGTGAAAGTTCTGGGCCTGTGTCTCCCAGGAAAGTTGGAGAATCTCGTCCCCATGAGTGTAGAGGTTATGTTAAATTCTGAAACCACATAATTAAAATGTCCTTGAAAAAGAAACCTTACTCTTAAGCATTTCAAATTTCGGATGCTATTTTAAATGGTATTTTAAAATTTGTTTACAATAATTTGTTATTAGCATATAGAAATAACAATAGATTTTTGTGTACCGACTTTGTATCCTACAATTTGTTAAATGTAATCGTTGTACTAGCTTCTTTAATAAGACTTCTTAGGCAATTCTTCCTGATCATTTTATCTGCAAATTGTTGATGCAGTTGTTTATTTCCTTTATGGATAAGTCTATTCATCAACATTTTATGTTTGAAAGATTTGCTTGCTGATTGGAAAGGAAACCGTATCATACAACTTCGGAGGAAATAAGTTGAAAAAAATAAGAAATCTTTACTCTCCACTTCCATAGGCCAGGCTACTTAAACCATCAGACATAGAAGCAATTTTCAAAGTGTAAAACACTCTCATATAAGGGGTTATAGGTCCTAACCCCTTACATTTACAGATGAGATAACTGAGGTCTGAAAAGTCACAATGACTTTCAGGGTTATGTAGTTAGTAAGTGACCACATGTGAGTACAAAATGTAACTCTTCTTTCTATTCTACAATTCATCTCTACACTGGTTAACAATAGTTCAAGACGGGAGGTCACAAGTAAATGACCTTTAAAAGGTGTAATAATAAATATTGTCAGAATTGCCATATTTCCTATCTTTACAACCCCATCATCAGTTTTGTAAGGTAACTTAATAATAGAAAATGGCTCCTATTCTAGTGCTCTCCCTGTTCTGTCTCACAGCTACTCCCATCAAAACACTTGTTGATAGGCTCTCTGTAATTTTGACTCAGTCCATGATCTCTCTATACTGATTTTAAAAGTTATCATCAGAATGGATGTGCTAGTATACTAAGAAATGTCTGTGAATGTTATTTATTTCTTTGTCTTAGTTAATTGCTTTCATAGATTCAGTTGTTTAAAAATAAACTGGTCTTTTAGCCATGAAATCCTTGCCTATGCCTATGTCACGAATGGTTTTGCCTATGTTTTCTTCTAGGGCTTTTATGCTGTTAGGTCTTAAGTTTAAATCTTTAATCTATCTGGAGTTAATTTTTGTATAAGATGTAAGGAATGCGTCCAGTTTCAGCTTTCTGCATATGGCTAGCCAGTTTTCCCAACACCATTTATTAAACAGGGAATCCTTTCCCCATTGCTTGTTTTTGTCAGGTTTGTCAAAGATCAGATGGTTGTAGGTGCGTGGCATTACTTCTGAGGCCTCTGTTCTGTTTCATTGGTCTATATCTC